TTGAGCGGATAAAGCCAGTGGGATAAGCTTCAGCACAACATTAACATTACAAATTCCTTTCAACAAAGACGCTATTTTGCCACCAATCCTACTTTGCTCCTTTCATTCCTTATAAATCCAGTCAACTAATTTTTAATGACACTTTGATCTTTCGCTCTCCCTATAAAATCACTTTTATAATAGATGTAGATGTAACGTAAATGTCCTAACCTTTCAGAACCATTCCAGAAGACTTCCACAAAGTGATACTTCTACTATTGTACAAATCCTAATCGAATCAATGCGTACTGACCGATTCATTGTTGTGGACGTAACAACAGCAGCACAGAGGCTACTTATAAGGGTTATCCACCTTTTCTTTCACCTTCAGAATTAAGTGCAGTACACAAGGCAGTACAGCACTGAGCTATGAAGGTTTAAGGTACTACCGAGCTTGTTCGTGCACAAATTTACCAACAATGCTCTGTATGAAAAATCACCACTACCTAGAAATAAGGACTGACCTTCTGTAAAATCCTGAGTACCCTGATCAATCATAGTCAAATCAGTAAGAAACGACCCCAAGTATGGAACGGGTTCCCTGGCAATGTCTGGCTACGATTCACGTCGCTCTTCGTTCGAAGAGCGCAATTCTGAAACGACAACTGTGGTCGTCTCAGTGGTGAGCTCTTGGCAGTACCTTCCTGGAAAAGGATGAAAACACTACCACGTTACGGAAGGAAAGTGAGAAGTATTAGGCACAGAAGAGACTAAAGCCCACTCGGAGAACCGATTCATTTACCAAAACCAGCCTTCGTTTTCTGAGAAGAATGGTTAAACGAATCTTCCACGGAAGAAGCTCCGCCCCATTACCACACAGAAAACGATACCTTTAAAGGCAAAGTTCGGGCTCAGACCCACCTAATGAGCCCTTAAAGTGGCTAGAAGCGCATGGGACACAACTGTAAGCGACTCGCCAAAACCCCGCATCGAAATGCGTCACTAAAGCGCTAGGGGCCAAGGACTTTGACACGCTCCTCCTGCCGCGACACGCTCCGCCCACCGCTCGATATTTTGTCCGCATCGCAATGCTGATCTGCTATGCTCTCTCTTCTCGGATTTCTCTACCGCTCTCCGCGCTCACATTATCTCTCAACCTCCCTGCCGATGCCCTTTTGAATCTTTCCGCGCGCAACAATAGAGCAACATATATCCGTATTATCGGCTGTGTTTTTGCACGTTCTTTTTTCGCTTTCTTTCTTACCACTGCGGCGGTCACCTCTCCACTCCCCAGCAATCACATTAGAGTGAATTACTCAATCAAGTTTACAGCTTGAATCTTGGCTGTGATCAGAGGAATCTTCCACGGAAAGAGTGATCATTTTGTCTTGTGTGTAGGATTAGTATTATCGAAACTAACGCTTATGTTCCGTTCTTTTTGCTATGCTCATGAGGCTAGGGGCCTAAGGTATCGTTTTCTGTGGTAATGGAGGCGGAGCTTTTTCCGCGGAAGATTCCTTTAATTAAGACGACAAGACGAATTCTAGCGAGAGAAGTGTCGTAGGCTTCGTGCGAGAAAAGATTATAAGGCACAAGAGTCTCCTGAAAGATAAATGAAGCTGTCAAAGGACATGATGAATAAGGTGCGTTGTGAATAGGAAAAAAGTGTGGATGAAGATTGCAAAAGCAATTCTAGCAGAAGGATATGAAATATATTGAGACACTAAGGAGATATGGAGACAGGGGACAGGAAAAGACAAGGTCACGAAAAAGGACGGATAAAAATGACAAAATTAAATCCAGTACCGCACCAAAGCAACGAACAGAAGAAGAAACAAATGGAAAGGAGTAGAAACGCTAAAACAAATGAACGCCTTCTCGGTTGTGTGAAGAGCAAAAACCACTACAGCAGCTAGTTCTAGAGAGCTGATAAAAAGTAATTGAAAAGCTAATATAGCGCCAAAAAATGATAAAATTTCAAAAATTTTGGACAAAACTCAACTTGTGCTAAAGTTGAGGGACAGCACGTCAGCACGAAAAATGAGAAGCATGAAACGCAAACTTTAACCCATTGGCGACAATGCGATTTTTCGCTTGTCTGCCGCGTCGGACCGCGCCTTTTTTGACATTTTTGAAAAATGTGTCATAATGCGGCTATCCACCTGCACCAAAAATGTTGAATCTTGAAGCATGAACTGTTAGAACTTTGCAAGTTTCGTATGATTGCAGACCGCTTCCAAAATGAGCGTAAATCTTTAGGTTTTGCCGAGGGTGTATATTGGAGCATGCCAGAAAAACTTCAAATCTCCACTTTAAAACCCGTAAATGGGGTCGGATCCAGATCTCTCTTTGTGAAATGTTGTAGCATTACTCTAGCTGACTCCAGGCGAAAAGCCAGCCGGATGCATTCAAAAATAACAAGCTTTGCCTTGGAAAATCACTTTCAAGTACCGCTCGTGTAAAACATCAACTAAGGAAGATATGCACTGACCATTAATACCGTAAGTATGACAACGCCTTCCTGATTAGTATGCTATAGGAACACTTCTGGAAATCCTGCGGAGAAGAGTTATCTCAATGCTGCGTCCCAACATCGAGCCGCATTGTCCGTCGTGGCAAAAAAAGTGCGTCCCAACATCGAGCCGCAATGTCGCCAATGGGTTAAACCGGAGCAAACTTTGAACATATATGAAGCGCAGCGAAAAGCTACATCAGTGAAAACGGATCAAACCTTATTCCCAAGTGAACGATGAAGTAAACCAAGAGAATGAGGATTTATGAAGTCGAAAACCTCTTGAAATCAACTTAATTGTGCCCGATCTCAAGCCTTACCTGCTCGAGAATACGACGAGCGTTTCTTTCATCACCTTCTTCGTCCATATCATAGATGGATGACAGATCCCGAAATTGTGCCATGGATCGACTGAAGAGAAACAGTCTACAGCACTGTTTTACAACTACGTCCTAATTTGTAGACAAAATAGCAAGCATTTTGCCAAACAAAAAAGAGGAAACCAACGATAGTAAACAAAACAAACCTCGGCACAAGAGCCCAAGCTGATTTCAAGCGATGCACTGGTTCTGACTGAAGACTTGACAGTACGGCTTTCAAGGACGAAAAGTTTTTCAACGCACGCAGCTCCTTGAAAATGGATTTCAAAAAAGTGATGACGAAGCAAGTAACATATGTATCAAATCTATCTATCCAAGGGAAACCAAGTTGAAATCACTTAAGTTGAGTTCAGAACCAAATTATTAGGAGCGAAGGTTTTATAGAAGCTGCAACATATACTCACTCTAGCAATGTCAATCCATTTGGCGATGATTTTTGCTCGGAAAGTCAGGTCGGCAGTCCGGTAACACTATGCTGGTCATAACCCGTTGTGATACCGCGTTGAACTGTAAATAAAAAAAGCAACTGCATAAAATCGACGTCCATTTTCGTAATAAGGAGGTTCAAGAGCGACTTCGTTCTCCGAGATTTTACTTAAACGCAGCACCCTCCACAATTAGTTCACTGGAACAAACATTTCTGTGAATGAGGTGACTAAACCAGCAAACGCAAAAAGCAGTATCACTCTCGTGACGGTGGCCTGACCCCATACTTGTAATGCAAAGTGACGAAAGGCGCAATGCACGTCCCATGTTACGGCTCCATGGAGCTGCACGCGGCGGCGGACGGGTTCGCGGTGTTTTGACGTCCACAGCGGGGTTAAAGGAGCGAGCAAAGGGCTGGCTCTGCCACCGCTACTTCGATACATTGAGTGGCTACGAGGAAATATGATACTCCTAATTAAGTGAGCAATAAGTAGAACTAAGTGGGAGTCCAACTCTGAGAATGGATTTAGTTTGACCAACTTCAACTTGACTGTGTACTCCTAAGGATTTGCAGATGAAAGCCTCGACTTTTCCACATTGAAGATTCCAATTTCCATTGCGAGGATGGTATCTGTACATATACACAAAATTTCGCTCGCAGCAGCGAACTGAACAAGTTGGTGTAGTGCTAGAAATCCCAACACTGTTTGAGCGAGTGGCAGCGGCGCTGGCTACTGCCTAGCGCCTTCATTTAAGCCCCCCTGGCGGCCCTGCCGGCAACCCGGCGTCAATTTTTTGAACGTCACCGTGCACGCGCGTCGGCCGGCCGCGCCGCGGGCGAACTTTTATCTCCCCCCCTAGTTACGAATGCATTGATGTGGGCGCGCTCACCTAGACATATGCTCTCTCGACTCCAGAATACTTCCCGGCTTCGACGCCGATTCACGCCGTTTAAAAAGACCACCACCGCCGAGAAAAGTTCGTTGTCTTCAGCGTTTCAGTAATTTTTCTTCACTGGAGACTATTTCACACCTGTTCTTGCATTTTCACGCAATAATCACAAGGTGTTCGCTGCATGTACCTTCAAGTTCTTCTGCTTAGCACAATATGCGACATTTGCGAGAGCGAACAACTTGCCAATCGGCCATGTTTGCAGTACATTAAAGGCGCTTAAATTCAACTAAATACGCGTCTATGTGTACAACAAAACCACAAAGGCCATAAATGTGCGGAATGATGAACCTAACGGCAGCGACGACGATAAGTTCCAAGGGGTTTATATAGAAGAGGTGATGCAATGATGCAAGTGGCAAAACTCGTCAGATTACGCAAAATGGGATCATTCAATTTGTCCGTTAATTTTTGACCACGAAC